GGCAGCTGGCAGGCCTGTTGCGGCCTCTCTGTGGCCTGTCCGAAGCCTGCCTCCTCTCTTCTTATGGGCTTCCGAAGGCGACGTTAGGCATTTTGGACCGCCTTCAAACGCTCCTCGGCAGCTGGCAGGCCTGTTGCGGCCTCTCTGTGGCCTGTCCGAAGCCTGCCTCCTCTCTTCTTATGGGCTTCCGAAGGCGACGTGAGGCATTTTGGACCGCCGCAGCACAAGCCTTGCTGGCTCAGCACCTGGGCTGTCCAACAAGGCCCCCGCAAACAGCCGCCAGTCTATTAGCACAGCCAGAACAGAGGCATTGCTACTATGCTTCTTGCTGCCTGTTGCTAGTGGCTTTTCTGATCTTGTGATGCTTCTGGGTCTTCTTCTTAGTGCTGCTGCTGTGATTGCTGTTGTTGGTGTCTATCCTGGGGTCGCAGGGCACAACCTTGGCATTGGCATCTCCACCTTTGTGGGCTTTAGCGCAGGCCACAGCTAGCCTGTCCGAGGCCACGCAGCCTTGGCATGGCCTGAACTGCCACATACGATGCTAACCGCCGAGGCCACCCTCTTCTTTTCTAGGCTTCCGAAGCGACGGCCCCCCTCAAACGTTTCTCGGCGCCTCGCAGGGTGCAACCTTGGCATTGGCATCTCCACCTTTGTGGGCTTTAGCACAGGCCACAGCTAGCCTGTCCGAGGCCACGCAGCCTTGGCATGGCCTGGGCTGCCACGTACGGTGCTAGCAGCCGAGGCCAGCCTCTTCTTTTCTAGGCTTCCGAAGGCGACGGCCCCCCTCAGACGCTTCTCGGCGCCTCGCAGAGTGCAACCTTATTGGCATTGGCATCTCCACCTTTGTGGGCTTTAGCACAGGCCACAGTTAGCCTGTCCGAGGCCACGCCTAAGGCTAGAACACCCATCTTCTTTCCGCAGACGGGCAACCACCGGAACGACACTAACGCCTTCAGTTACACATGCTACACTCCTCTTGAAAAGGGGTCGGCGGCACCCGGGCGAAGCCCTTACAATTATGGCCGAATGGCGCAAACAGTTGGGCTTGGGGGAGCTTTCTTCTGCTGCTCTGGCCAGTGTCCTGTTTGACTCACCTGTGCTTTGTTTTTTGTGATTTGCATTAGCTTGTTGATCAACCTGTTTCGGCGTCAGCCCAGACACTGTCGCTTTACCGCGCACATGGTGCAGGAAAAAGTGCACCCGCCAGACACGGAGAAGATAAGGTAGACATCTGTTGGCTCTCTGCCAAGGGTTGCAATGAGAAAAACATATTAGAGCAGCTTCTTGGCTTGATAACCTTTCCTTTGCTCCAACTATTCTGCCCATGTTCTCCCTTGAGAGTTCCAAAAGCCGACGAGTCAAACACCGCCGCTCCAGCGCCACTTGTTGCAGTGCGTTGCGAGCCTCAAGTTTGCCTTTAAATTCAGCTGCGTTTTAAGTGCATCAGGATGTTCCAAACACTTTGCCAGCACTAAATTGCATTTCTGTTTGCAGACCTGTCAACCATTCGGTTGGGATAAGAACCAAAAAAGTTGGCGTTAACCAAAACAATAGTGCAAACTATACACACTGTTACGCAACCGGTTGTGGCATTCAGCGGAAACCATGAGACCATGAAGTGAAGTTCAAACATTGCGACGTTCTACTTGCAGCCGGGCAGCGGCGAACTCGTTTGAGGGCCACTCCACTTGAGCCACGCTGGAAAGGGTAGGGCGCTAGCTGTGGCCACCAACCCAATAGGGATGGCCTCCAACCTAGAAGCGATGGTCTCTACCCTAGAAGCTGGAACAACACTGCATTTACAAAGCAGATGATACACTTGCGAACTTGTTTGCGACGATATTATCCAAAGCGCAAGGACTTTGTTGCACTTCTGGTGAGACTTCGGAAGTGGGCCACCTTGAAGGGCGACCTAAAGTACAACCTACGCCTAGATGTCATCCTTAAAGGTCCGGACGGTCCGGTCGTAACAAGTTATACTATATAAATAGAACGCCGTAGCTAGAACGACGCTGCAAAAGAACTCAAAATCTAGGAAGTGTCGCATCCTAACTACAACATCAAGCCGGAAGCACGAATGTAATGGACTGCGTTAAGTTAGTATCTAACATCAACTATCGTTAAACAAGCTATTCTCTAAACAGGCTATGCTCAACGTTTTAGGGATACCCGTTAATCACTCTTGAATTGCACAACTGCCAACTTTATGCAACAAGGTTGTGCGAAACATTGTGACAACAAGCAACAAGCAAGCACTTTGTGGAAGGTTTGTTTAGGCACTCTGTAGGGTTTGTAGGCAGTATCTGAACTTGCGAGGTGCTCAAATGAAAGGCCGTGTGGACGAGGGCTTCGAATCCTGGATGTTTGCATTTCCTACAGCCTCAAAAGAGAGTCAAACAAAGCTCTCCTTCCATCAGGCGAAGCCGGCTTCGCACAACCTTTATCATGACAAGAATATCACAATCGGGCACCACAAGAGGGAGATGTGCGATTGTACAAACACTTGTGATTTAGTAGTGAGAGAGGCTGATGGAACAGTTTGGCGCTCCTACACGTCTACAAGACCTGGCGCAAAGAAAACGAATGCAGGTAAGACTCGACACAGCTTGCAGGACAAAAGGTCATTGACAGCTTTCAAGAGCATGGGCTAGACTTTCGCAGGCTTGAGGTGGGCTGAATTGGCAAAAAAGAGATGCTCACAAACGCAAAGACTGCCAAAGAAGAGTGGCAAACGCATTAGAACAATCGGCCAGACCAATAGAATCGATGACTTTGAAGGGCATCATGTGGACATCAAAGGCACTGACCAGAGTGCAAAGCCAAATTTTCTTCTCCAGGATACAATTTGTCCCTTCGCAGCCATGAAATGCTCCTATATAGGGGCACCACCAAAATCAATTCTATGGTTCTCTCTGCAGCAAACCAAGGATGGTTTGAAGTCATCGGCAGGAAGTGAGGCCATACTAGTAACTACTAGGAACAAGTGCATCGCTACTAGTAACAAGTGCCTTACTACTAGTAACAATAAGAAGGAGGGTGATGCTTGCATCAAGGCCCCAGAATCTAGCAGGTCTCTGCGGCAAGCCTGCGGCGCTTCTCTCTATGAACAGCACTGGGTTTTGCATCCAATTGTTCAAATATGTTATGGCAGGTGGAGGGCCATGGCCTCGTGTGCAAGGTAGACATTAGGATGCCTTTCTTTTTGCGCCGTCCGACATCAGCTAATAATTTGGATGTGCCTAGATTGAATTCCAACGGTTGCTGGAATCGGGGGAAAACAAGTCTTTTTACTTACGCAAAGACATCCTTAGGTCCAATTGGGAACTTGCATAAGAAGGACCCCAAACGAACAGGACCGGACCATGCAATTAGCTGACACCGTTCCCGAAATCTGCTCACCATGCTTTGCATGACTCACGGTCTGTCTAAATGAGGCATCACTTTACTCTCCAAGCACGTCCTGCACCAACACTTCCGAATACCCGATCAGTTTGATCCAGCCACGTGAACCCAACTAGACACACACAGCTTGGAATGCACGTTTTCCTTCACATCCTTCTGAACCAGTCTGTTGGTCCATGTAGTCCTCGCGCATTCACGTCGCAACTACGTAGAAAGAAATGCTTTGTGGCTCTGTCCTTCTGTCCTTGTGGTCCTCGATGTGGAAAAGATCATGGGGTAAATCCCAATATTTGGCAGAACACATTTCATCTTCAGCCTTTCAGGGCCAAGGACAGAGAAACAAAGAAGCTAGTAGGAACAAGTGCCTTACTAGTAGTAACAAGAAGCTAGTAGGAACAAGTGCCTCGCTTCTAGTAACAAGTGCATTACTAGTAGTAACAAGATTTCATCTTCAGCCTTTCAGGGCCAAGGACAAATGCGCTTCCAGATGCATACCCACATGTTTTCACGGTGGATTCGTTTCATGGGTGGCGTTGCTTCGGGCGATCACGCGGTTGGCCAGGTTTGACTGCATTTCTATAGCATCCTCGCAAGGTGAATGCAAGTGTGCCAAGTGCAGCGAGCAAAAGTAAACAAATGGATATCTTTGGCAATGGTCACAGTATGCGACAGTTGAGCCATGCTGTCTAAGGGTAAAGTGCCTTTACACCTGCTGAGTTGCCTACGCTGGGATTTCGCGGGGGCGGCTTCACCACTCTAAGTTGGCCTTTGCGAATTGGCTTCGCCTGTTTGAAATAGAGCCGACGCCAGAGGCTTCACGAGCCTTCGCCATACATAATGTATCACACAAATGCCTTCATCGCAAACATTTGGGGAGTTACAGTCTAATCTGTCTGTCTGTATTCAATAAGTAGACGCTACTCGCTTGACTTTAATAGTCTGGAAGCAGCACAGGAGAATAAAACGGGGGATGGGGCACCGCGCCTTTAAGGCATGGTGCCTACTTGACGGCAATCGTTCTTCTATGTCTATATTAAGCAATGACAAGCCCCCCTCAAAAAATTGACTTATATATATATATGTATCCCCCCTTAACATACAGGGGTAGGGGTCCTGCTTGAGATTTTATAGATATAAAATGGTGAGGTGGCACGTGGTCACGTCTATGATTTGGCGAGGTCATACGTCCTCTGGACCATACAATGCGGTGAGGCTGGACGTGCATTTAAGCCTGTTAGAATGACCCCGTCTACGTACGAGTGTCCGTGCTCACATCCGTTCAAGAAGTGCGCTGTGATTTTATAGAGTCAAAATCCACGGAAACGGATCGGAAACGGAACCCGACTGGATCGGGAAACCAACAGGCAGCAAACACATGCGACCCCTCTCAAAGCGCCGTTGACACTCCGCCCGCCGATCTATATTGAAACACTGTGATGTTTACTTGTATATACATTTGTAGACTATGGTAGACTGTTGGTACATGTAAACACATGCCTTAACCGGCTTTATTCTAATTCGATTATAATGTATTATGACGTATTATGGATTATTCTTAAATGTCTATAAGAGAAATAAGAGAAAAAAACAAAGTTCTCCATCACTTGCAGCGTGGGCCGGCGAGTTGCAGATCACATCTATACAATCAAGCGTCCAAGCCCCCTAAGCAGTTTATATAATAACGGTCAATTCTCTATAAATTCATGACCCCAAACGTATAGACGACCATTTAGGTCAACACCAAGTCTGTATAGAATCATAAGCTCTGTATAGAGGCAATCTGATTCGTATGACAAGTTCCCGACAACAGTAATTTTCTATGAAATCACATGTCGTGTTGTGATGTTCGGATATTTTGGGAAAACATCTTGTCTATAAATTTGGGGGTGAACCACCATGTAAAAACTATATGAAACCTTGTCGTCTCTATGAAATCAAGGGTGAACCTCCCCTTTTATATGTATAAAGCCGTTTTATAGGGGGGTGGACCCCCCTGCTTTCATACTGGGATAAGTTAAGGGGTATTATATATATATGCGTATTTCTTATGCCTACGCATCATGTTTACGGAGCTGTGTCGCCCGGAGCAATAGGTTGGAGGCGACCGCTACTAGGTTGGAGGCCATCGCTACTAGGGTGGAGGCCATCGCTATTAGGTTGGAGGCCATCCCTACTAGGGCCTAGGGTGGAGGTACAAATCATTGTGGCAACTGAAATCTTGTAGTCTCCATTGTGCGGCTATAGCTGTTGCCTTTGCTTTATGTTCTGGCGGACAGGTGCTTTTTTGCTGTTCTACATGGAGACTTCTACTTTTCACTGAAACCGTTTCTGCTTTGAAAGCCCCTACAGGCTTACACATGTTCCTTGGCCAGCATTCACGAAAGCTCTATGATTCTGTACATTCAGTGCTTTTCGCTTCATCCTCGTGGTAAACATGTCCTTATTCGTCCGTGATCTCGCTTCCACGCGACTTTCCCCATGATGAAGAGGCAGAGGCTACACCACATCTTCTACAGACCACGCTTTGTCGTTTCCATAACACATGCACTACTGCACCCTGCAGTACGAAAAGGGGTCCAGGTTTTCGCGCCTCCTCGCATTGTCGGAAGCCTCCTCCGAGATTTCTATCATAAAACACCTTCAACGGGCAGAAAGGAAAACTGAAACCCACATCTGCCTCTTTGGGAGTTGCGATTTACACATTAAAGAAACAGACCATGCAAAACCAAAACGATGCGAAGAAACCAAACCAACTGCTTCGTGTCTGAAAGCTGGTCTGGCCTAAAGAAAGTTGGTAGGTTAACGCAAGGTTGCTGGCGTCATCATGGCCACTGTGTCCCGTGAAATCAGCTACACTGACGCGCCAGGTAGGTGGGCAACTTGGATTGAAGGGGGCTGGTCGCAATCTCCGGCGCGCAGCGTGTGCAGACTCCTGGTCGCTCTTTAAAGATTGAAGCTGGTAGGGATTTCCTTGCAGTACAAAGCAAGGCCACACCTGGAGGAGAACTTGTGTAGCTGCACTTAAATACTTAAATATCACACAAGGACAAGTTGAGAGGCGCGGGGAAGGCTTATCACATGCCTCAATTTCTCCGGCTACGGAGAAATGACACGTCTTGTTTACAAGCGGTGTTTACATCCTGTACAGGCAGGCATCAATGCAAACATGCCCCTGAAATCTGAGGCCGACTCTTCAACGTCTGCGTCTTACATTCTGGCTACCACGCCATCCACTGAACTCTATGAGGGTCCTCAATGGTTACAGCATGCTCTAACACTGGGTGCGAAGTTGTTGCGGTGGCCCGCCCATCCGGCGTTTCATGTTCCAAGACAACATCACACCTATGGCAAAACCATGCCCTCAGGACTGCTTCGAGGTGCCATTCCCTACAGGTCAGACGGAAACCTTTGTGAATTGGCAAATATCTCCCGTCGCATCACAGGCCAAGCCCTGAAGAGCTGGGAGTTTGCCTACACTGTGATCAATCTCTCCCCTTGATTTCTTTTAATTTGGTGCTCTGCCCGTGGGGTGGGCTTTACTTTTGGCCATGCAGTGGAAAGCTGCTGGCCGTGTCACACTCGACTGTGTGCGCGAGAGGCAGAAGAGGCTTTACGTCCTGCCTACCTGTTCCGAGCATATTCTTGATTGGCGTCGAAGCATAGTATAGGAACATTTGATATCCTCACTTGCGGCATTCTTCTTTGAGCACCTCTGGCATTAGCGCCTTCATCTTGCCACCAGCATCTTTAGTCGGCATGCACTTGTTTCTCGTGCTCTTGCATTCAGCCACAATTCCCAAAATCCCTTCACCAACTCGACACGAAATCACCCGATCCAAAAACGTATGCGGCTGTGGCGGTGAGATTTGGCAAACTAAGCGCCTCTCGATTCGGACTTCGACGATTTGGACGCAAGCAGCTTCTTTTCGAAGCTATGATTGCATGGGGGAACTGAGGCGAGGGCAAGAACAAGCACTCAACACCTTTTCTGGACGATCATGGATTGCAATAAAAACACTTGAGCTTGGCCCCGGTTTTTGGGATCTGCCGATCGGCTGACCATAAAAGGCATCAACTTGCCAAGCTGGGTAGGAAACGCTTGTAGTCGCGTCCTTGCTCCTAGTAGCGATGCCAGGAGCCCCTAGTAGCGTCCTTGCTCCTAGAAGCAAACAGAATAGCTTTGGCATCCTCAGACTTTAGTTCAGCCACCTGTCCTTATCGGGTCGGGCAGCTACACCGCAGCATGATTTCCGCTCGCGCTGTCCATCTCGAAAGGTCGCTTCCACCCAGGGTGACGCGTTCTATAGCTTTGCTATTTTAACTATACCAAAGTTCGTTGATTTATGGAAATATAATATATATATATATATCAAAATCGACCAAAAAACATCGCATACAATCAAAAAGGCATGAAAGGTAAGTCCCGGGGGTACCATTTCAAAACAATATTTATTGTGTTGTTGTTGTTGTTGTTGTTGTTGTTGTTGTTGTTGTCGCTGTTGTTGTTGTTGTTTATATACTTATTTATTTAGCCCCGCGATGGAAGCTTTTGACGCGGCCATTGACTGGCACGATTTTACACCATCATGTGAAGTGGCAGGGTCCACAACATAAGTAAGCAAAGGTCACAAATGAAGCTGCAAGACTATTCTGCTTCGCCTCGGAGGCCAAGTGTTGATAACCAAAGTCTTCGGGCGGTACATGTGGCACCGGGTCCATGTGGTGAGTCACCTGGCGCATCAATCTTCCTTGTCCTCGTTCTTTCCAAAAGAAATGGCCTCCAACCTATATAATGGCCTCCAACCTACGACCCACTTGACGCAAATGATTGGGTCGTGGGTCCTTTTGGCCCGCGGGCAATAAAGCTTCAAGTGGCGCCAGGCGACGGCGCTCAATTGCTCCAAGCGACGCGAAAAAAGCGCTGGAAGAACCTCAGCTAGGCCAAGGGGGCGCAAGGGGTGGATGAAAGAATTGCATTTTTTCATGATTGCATTGAAGGCAACAGTTGAATAAAAACACATCGTTTGCAACCAACTGCGCCCCTTGGTCGTCTCGTCTTCCATTGGGGGATTAACCGGTTTTCTAAACTCACTGAACCACCCTAGTTCAATTCGAAGCTCAAAGAAAAACCGGATGGAACACATTGGTGTCAACAGTAACCAAGCATTTCATAAATCAAGAATTAATTCAAAAAACTGCTCTCTGAATCCCTCAAGGAAAATCTAGCTCTATACGCTTGGTTGCAATTTGTCAACCAGTGTTGGGAGCTATGTTGTTTTAATCATTTGTTTGAATCAGGCAACCTGTCGGCCCATTGTACGAACTAAAAGAAAACCAGGCTCTCCTTTCACATGAGCGACAACCAAACCTACCTTAGAGGGGAAGTGTGCTGTACTGTAAATCGGTGTTTTTGGCATTGCCGTTTTACTTTCTTTTATTGGGGTACCGTCTGCATGTAATTACAGTAAACAGCTTGTCCGTCGTCTTCGTGTTTCCTTATTGCAAAGGTTCGAAATGGTAAGACTGGAAATCCCACCCAAGCATTCAGCATAGTAGCTTCTTGTTACTAGTAGCTATTTGCTCCTAGTAGTACGGCCAGGAGCCCCTAGTAGCGTTCTTGCTCCTAGTAGCGATGCCCTTTGCTCCTAGTAGCTTCTTGTTACTAGTGGCAAGGTGCCTTGTTACTAGTAGCTCCCATGCATTCAATATTGAGACCCTGCAGTTTTGCGAAACGTTATGAGGGTGTAATGGACTGAGCTCAGAAATTGGTCGTGTGTGCAAACAACTAGCGCATGTCATTGCCAAAAGCAAGTAAGTCTAAACAAGCACAGCTCAAAAGTTTGTGCACACTTTTCAGACCCCTACCTGGTTTCGTGTCATCCTACTGGCAATAACGCTTTCAACACCAGTATGCTCCGGAAGCGCAGGAGCCAAAGCGGGGATGAAAGAGGCATTGAAAGGAAATCCTGAGAAAATGTTCGCCCAGACCATTTGATGACGCGTGCAAACACCGAAGGCATGTGCAACCTACTAGCGATGTCCAACCTACTAGCGGCTAGCGATGGCCTCCAACCTAGTGGCGATGGCCTCCAACCTACCAGCGATGGCCTCTAACCTAATTGCGATGGCCTCCAACCTAATGGCGATGGCTACTACTACTACTACTAGGACGACGACGACGACTACTACTACTGCAATGCCTCTGCAACACTCCAACCTGGGATGTTTCATACTGTCTTGCCCACTGTTGGTTCTCGCACGCACCCGGCAAAGCTGTTGGCGGACAATAACAAAATACAGCAAGGGCCCTGTTGCCATGGCGCCGCCATTCCTCTGAACCCTATCTTGCACCGGTTTGCAAGGGCACTTGCCCAACCAACAAACACCCTAAATCTGAGATCGAAAGAAAAGAATGTTGACCGGTGGTTGTCACACGTAACCTACCAACAAAATGTGGTTCATTTGAGCCCACATTCTCTCCACGGTTGGATCGCCAAAAGAAGAGAAAGCGCTCACATGGCATTCGGTAGCTAAGCATTCATTAGGTACATTTGCCGACAATTGTCAAAGCGAGTCGGATTCTGGCTAATCTAAAATTTGCATCGGCTCAACGAAGGAACATTTTGAGAGGTAGATTTGGACAACTTTAATTGTTTAAAAAAGCCTTAGGTTGGAGGCCATTGTTCTAGGTTGGAGGCCATCGCTCTTAAGGGCCCTGCTTCCTGTCAAATCTTCGAGCAAAGATAGCATCGCCAGCTCTGGGCATTCCAAAGGTGTAGGCTTCGCGAACATGCCAACCGCTGTCCAAATCAACCTGGCGAAGGATTAGTACGTTGCTTCAGCCCAAAAATAACTGGCATGGCAAATGACTGTACACCGGTACACTGGCAAACGGCATTTGTTGCTTTCCTTTCCGTCACTAACCCATGGATACGAGCAACAGTGGAGGCAAGGTTTGCAGAAATCTGACGAAACATTTGCAGCACCAATTTGGTAAGGACACAAACAGACATTTGAGGAAAAGTTTGCTACACAAATGCGTTAATGCTAAAGACGTGAGCAAAATACGAGGACAAGTTGATGCACAAGTCCTTCTCCACACGTGTCCAAGACTCGCGTGCCCCGTTCAGTTTCCAACACATCATGTCCGAGACATCCAAGACATTTGTTTCTTTTTAAAATAAGAGCGTTGCTTTGTCGGAGTTATCATGCCCGATCAAGACCTAGTTCTATGTGTCTACGATGAAAATTGTTTGCGTGGACGGTGCACGGGCATTTCACACACCTGCTGCCGGAGTCTCGGCCTGCTCAAAATTTTACTGCTAAAGCTACATTATAGTATACAGCTTCTTGTTACTAGTAGTAAGGCCAGGAGCCCCTAGTAGCGCCCTCGCTCCTAGTGGCAATGCCAGGAGATAGGTGTGACTCTTTTTTGCTCTAAATGTTTCCCTCAAGTGGCCAGGTGTGGTACAAGTGCGTTGGGATGGTTCCTTCCCGCACTAAACTTGCAGATTGGATTTGAGCTTCGTAAAGATTTTGCAGGTATGCTAGGTTTGGCTCCTCCCTGCTCTGAATTGTCCATTGGGTGCCAGCAAACGTGTGATATGGCCCCTTCGCGCTTTAAATGTTGTTCTCCAGTGTCACACTAACCCGTCCTCATCCAAACTCTACCCTCAGTACAGTGGCATGGGTGGCCTACAAAAGGTACGCTACGCCGCTAGGCCTTTCTGCTCTAAATGTTCCCTTCGGGTGGAAACAGTTTGTATGCTCAATGCTGTAAGGTTGGAGGCCATCGCTTTTAACCCCGCGTCTCTGCCAATCGATGCCTCTGTGTGAAGATTCTAGGCATCGCTAAAAGCAAACAATACTTTCCCCCAGCCCAATGCAATGAAAGTAAGGTGCCCCCATCAACTGTTCAACCTGTTTGCCGGAGCACCATCCAATTCCAAGGAGCCTGCTGGACGCTACTAGTGGCTCCTGGCATTACTACTAGTAGAGCTAGAAGCAGAAGTCTATTGACTCTAGTGAGTCGACCTACAGCTGTAGACTGGACAAATACGAGCACCTAAACCACTGCACAAAACAATGCCGGGCATGGCACAATATCACAGTTCAGTTGTCTTTCCTATTTCCTTGTTTTTCGATGTGGCCTTTAAACCTGTCTTTCTCTCTCTTTGCCCTTTGTTTCTTTCTGTTTTCTTTCACTCCTAAAGCCTGTATTTCTTTCTCTTTGTTTTTAGACCTCGCCTTATATGAATGGAGTTTGTGAGGCCGATGTGCTGGTGAAATGTGTCGAGCGTCGACGCTGTCCTTGTGAGGTCGTCTAACCTGGAAAAACATGTCGTGTGCCACCAGTCCCCGAAGCAGCTGTGACAGTCTTGACCAGCGCAACTCCCCACGCAACGGAAGCGAACTTCGGAGCATTGCGTTTTTTGAGTGGCGCTTGAGGCACCAAGTTTCACAAAGGGCCTGCAAGAGATGGTCTGGACGACAACTACATAAACGAGCTCACCCGGTTTCAGCGTCGCAACTTTCAAGAAAGGCTGGCGCCTAGTTGACACCAAATCGCTCTTTCATGCGTCTGGCAAATTACACCGTGGCAAACATTCACGACAAAATGACGGCCTTCAAGATACAGGTGCCGTGAATAGCTTGTGAATGTGACAGGCATAGTCGTGCAGCGGATGCGTGATACTCTCATCCCCGCAGAGTTCGCGCGGCAAATTCTGCATGATTCTGCCACGTTCGTTGTTCCCATCGCTGCAGAGTTCGTATCGTGGGGCACAGAAAACTTGAACTGAACTCAAAAACTTGTCAACTTGTAGGGAGCAAAGGGGCCAAGAAGTAAAGTGTTTAAAGATGTCTAAAGCTGTTCAATGAAACCTTGAAACCAACAATTGTGAAAACATCGTCACTACCACTGGAATCCATGACGGGACGTAATTCCTAATAGAGGGGATCTCCAAGGGAAGGGATCCACATTGTTGAATCATTTGGAATTGGAGAACAGCAACCACAGGCCTTCCGCTTCATTGCTTCCCACGAATTCTAGAAACTGTTTGGACCTTCTTCCGCATACGAGTAGTTCATACAGTCATATGCAATCTAGTGATCTAGTGATTGCAGAAGTTCAGCCAGCGGTGCCATTGCCAGCACACCTGGCGTAAAGAATTCAAGAGATTTCCAGAGCAGTATCTAGCATGGAATGAATAGGTTGGAGGCCATCGCTACCAGGTTGGAGGCCATTCCTATTGAGTTCTTTTTGCTATTAGGTTGGTGGCATTGTGGAAACTGGAAGCGTGTCAGATCTGCTGACTGCGCCGCCCAACGAGTGGCCTGTGACCTCAATTGTGGGACGGTCACACACGTACACTCGTCTCCCTCACCCGCGTCGTTCATCTGTTCCACATGCGTTCGGTACATCGTGTTTGTCCAAGCTCTTGACTCTGATCCCAGATCCTTTGGGGAAGCCAATGGTCACCAAAGCATCCATCACACAGCTGCGCAAACTCTCCCACTCCTTGGGATGCCGAGATGAGATCGTAAAACAAATGACACTCCAAAGGAAACTATGGAAGCACGGCGACTTTGAGGGCGCTGCGGTTAAAAACCCTTCGTGGACCTCATGTCCGCTCATGTCCGCAAAAAAAAGTGTTTCCATGTCACATGGAGAAATTGTGGTGCCCTTCAATTTGCAGCCAGCGCGCTTTACCACCAGTGTGCCAATCAGTAAGATTCTTCCAGATTCTGAGATCCTGGGAACTGTCACCGTCATCTCGAAAACCGAAAAGGATGAAAACCTTTGCAAAACAGCCGGCAAAGAATTGTGTTGCATTCTTGAGTGATCAGTAGATAACAAGGCCAAATGCACATTGCTAAGCCATTGGGCTTGAACCATCGACATGTAGCTCTTGGTGCCTTCAAAGCTTATGATGCCATCTCCCTGCACCAATGTTCAAGGCCCGGCCCGGCTCAAGATGCATGACAAATTCAAACATGGTCTGCTTTTATCATCCTCCGGGGAGGGAGGGGGTTGCAGGCCGGGACTGAGGAGTAAGTAGACCTAGGACCAAACGGAAGTTTATCTAGTAGCTGGGATGCAGGAAAGCGCTCAGGTTCCTTCAAGGAAGCTCCCCGCCCTGAGGGCAGGGGGAAGTTTCCTTGAAGAACACGAAATCACTGAAGAGCCCCTAGTAGCGTCCTTGCTCCTAGTAGCGATGCCAGGAGCCCCTAGTAGCTTCTAGCCTAATTCATTTGTCCTAAGGTCACAAAAACATCCAAGCAGGTCACCTAATTCAAACTGTGCGCAGACTGTGCAGGTTTGGGATTCTTGCCCACACATTTATAGAACGCTACGACGCTACAGCTTTTACAATACCTAAATGCACACCGCATGACCTGGCTGAACACAATGCTCAAGTGAGCGCTGGAACAGTTCCCATGAGGCCATATGGGCCCCAGGATCAGGCGTCCAGCCCAATGGCCTCCATCCTAGCAGCGATGGCCTCCAACCTAAATATTAGCGAAAAAGCGTTTGGCCATTCTGGTATGTGCCCTCCGCTCTGGGCCTGGGCCCCCAAAATGGTGCACTCTAGCAACTGGATGGGCCCAACATGTAAACCCAGCGGACGGACCTCAAATTTGGCGACAAAGGCTTGCGTAGTTGCGCCTATGCACACCTGCACGAAACAAGATCTTTTGAAGCAAACGACCAGGCTCAATGTCCAGGCGAGCTACCTTCGGCATTGACACTGACGTCAAGCATTTGCTTCCGCAACTCCATGCCTGCGCTCAAAGAACAATTTGACAAACTGGCAAGGTTTGCTAGTCAATTATATACAGTATATGTTTTGAGATTGTTTCTTTTTGCGGTACAAGTGAAGCTATCAAAACCCAAACTTTCAGTGAGACGGGGAGTGGGTGTTGGATCGGACCCAAGAAAATGATCAATCTAATATTGCAACTATTGCCACAAGGTTTCTAGGTCCTAGCAAACACATTCGTGCGCACAACTCGTTGACAAAGACTTTTCAGGCTCGGTTGCAATTTGATGAACATCGCGCAGCAGCAGGTGTGTACACGGCAATGTGCCAACGATGACGCGGTGCTCCCGAACTGCCAGCAAACACATACTGTTGAGTGCTATGGTGGAGGCCATCCCTCGGTTGAAGGCCATCGCTACTAGGGTGGAGGCCATCGCTATTAGATTGCTGCAGCAAACACATAATGAGCAAGATTGAGGTGTCCTCGTGCAACACTTCACTGCATGAGTTCCTAGTAGCGATGCACAGTAGCGGGGCAAAGTCAGCTCGGAGATTCGGAGTGTTCCAGGAGCTTCGAAGAAAATGCAAGTCCCGAAGAATTCGTCAGAGTGCACATGATTGATTTGACATGTGGACTACCGGCACAAAAGCACGGCTACTTGCTTAGTACAACACGTGCCTTCAAGGATGACGGGGAGCAATACGCTGCTCCGGCCAATTGCGCCATCCTGCGCATCACCAATAGCTTCACGTCTCCTTACCCGTACCCCCAGCAACTTCCGTGCCTCACAGCAACTTCCTCAGAGTAGTGAACTGGTTGCCCCTTCAAAGCCTCGCAAATAATTGAATCCATCTATGGTGAGACTAGGCGCAAAGGACGCTAAAATGCCAAACCGACCAATCTTCCATGCTCGCGCGACCCAATTCAACGCTGCTTCAGCTCAGAATCCAATGACACTGCGTAGCCAACAGCCGCACAAAGTAAGAGAATTGCAACTGCCAAAGCTATGCCTCAAAGTTCGTGCAGAACGATGATTTTGCAAACGGGCCCACTAGCAGTGCAACAAGCAGGTCTCCTCAACACGGTAAAGCTCTACAGCTTTCCAAGTTGCGAAATCTTCGCCTCGTACATCTGAAGCAATGGCCTAATACGATCAAAGTGATTCGTCTTTCTACAACGTTGAGCTCACACACTGACGAGTAAGGAGTCACACGATATGCCCAAGTTGCGCCGCTCATCACACCAACCGGACCAACCTCCCTTGTTGCTGAGTCACCCAGGGCCTTCCTGACGGGGGGATGTGTTAGTTATTGCGGCCAGAAACGTGGCCGCTCAAATCTATGCTTTGAGGTTGGGTTTGGCTTTCCAGGCACTGCGCAGCAAACTCCATGTAGATGGCTGACATGGTTTGTGTCTGGAAAGTTTCGGTTGCGTCGCCATGGGGGTGTTGACGGGCGGATGGGGTGGGGGTGATAAGGTTAATTGCACACCAAGTTCGCACATGTGTTTCTCAGGAGGCGGCGGGATTGGGGGCGAGGTGTACTGGTCTCCTGCTCCAGCTGTGCTTCCATGGCATGAAGGTCCTAAATACTGCATTCACACAAATGATCAAATGCCTAGATGGTCTATTGTCGAGCCTCTGATTGATCCAACATTCTGATAAGAAAAGCACTTGTCTTCCCAAATAATGGCCTTACTAACTATGCCTTAATGCCTAATGCTATGTTTCGCAGCTGCAGCATGGAACGTGTCGCAGCTAAACCGCATTTTGTAGGGGCTTAGGGCATCATGATGGGAAGTGTCAGGCCGATTGATTTAGACACAGTGAGGTGAGCACTTTTTGCTGCATCAATGGCTAAGATTGCCCCAGCCACTTCCACTTGCACCTTTCATGCAAGCCCAAGTGCTGCACAAAGGGCATGGAAAAGAGGTGGTGGCCAAATGCAAACGCCCAAATGATGCCAAATGTGAAGCCAGAAATAGAATCATTCCAAACATGCTAATTATTCAACATGGAGACGCAGCTGGCCATTTTCTTCTGCAGAAGATGCTGTAGTGAGACAAAGAAACAACATGAAACAATGTTCAGAAACAAAACGTCACTGTACAGGCACGGCCACTGCTTGCTCACGGATTTGGGGGAATGACCTGAGGTGTTTGTGGAGGCATTAGCGATGGCCTCCAACCTACTAGCGATGGCCTCCAACCTTGCATGGCAAGAGTTTGTGGACTCTGCTCGTTCAGCTGGGGTATTGACCAAACTCTGCTCTTCGTCCTCATCACCAATGGTGTCATCGTACTGGGCTTGGTCTGATTCCTCCAAGTGACTATGAACAAAGAAAGAAGACATGCCACACCGCATGCCACACCTCCTCATATCTGCGAGCAATCGAAATCAAGCCCTTCCTGGAAATCATCCCTTTGAACCTGCAAATTGGTTGACCAGGTGCTGCGTTACATTTCTTCAGGAATAGTTTTATCACAGATTATCTTGCCAGTGTTCATGCTGCATCTCGGTCTAAGATCATTGCTCTCCCTTCTCTGAGATCACCGATGCAGCTTTGGCGCCGGCCTGGATTCATACAATAGAACCACCAAAGAAGTGTCTTTGTTTCTTCCTCTGCTCTGCACATTCAAGGTGTCCTTGGCAAACAAGGCATAAAGCCTCGGCCCTGGCATATCCTGGCAAAAACGTTTCTGGCTGAAGTTGACCAAGGCCAGTTGCTGGCAGTGCGTCCCGCGGCCTCTAAAATAGTGTAAGGAGCCTTTTCGGTTAAGCGCTTCACCGGCAGGACATTCCCAGAGAAGCTGGATTCCCTAGTGGAAAGTGTTGGAATCAACGCACCTTTGACACAACGCACACTGCTTTGAAACGTCGCAGTGGAGGCCTTGCTACCGTAACTGAGATCAACTTGCCCATTTGCTCCCCACCAGCATCTGAAAGAGCCTGGGGAACAAATGCCTGATGGTTTTTTACAAAATGAACGACATATCAAATCATATCTGACACCCCACCTGTGGTCGCGCTCCTCCCGCTTCAACGAAGCCCGTGGCCTGGAATTGAGGGAATCCACCCACGAACTTGCTGCTTAAGACCAGCGACACGAGCGGCCCACAAACGGGGTTATAAAGTTTGTCCTCGTTTTGGCCTCGGGCGTTTGAGGTTGGACTGGTTCCTTCCTAGCCTTAGTGGGTCTCTAAGAGCAAGAAGCTACTAGGGGCTCCTGGCCTTACTACTAGGAACAAGGACACTACTAGGAACAAAGGGCATCGCTACTAAGAGCAAGGACGCTACTAGGAGCAAAAGGCATTTCTTGTGAATTCAAGTTCTAATGTTATTTTTGTTTGTCAGTTTTTTGATGCATATCCCCCCTGTCAAGATTCCGTGGTTCCTTGAAGAAACCTGAAGTGCAACCTGTGTCCAGCCTGGATAGCTCCATGTCAGTTTACCCTAACTACTTGCAAGCTACTAGCTAGCCTTTCCGCTGCAGTTTCTGCCCTTAACATTATATTCGAAACTAAAATCTAGAAACATTGGACCTGTATACATGTACATACACATATTTACGTCAAATTTGCGTTATTTGAACGCAAAACTTCTCTGCCAAAATTCGCCGGCGCCAAACTCACATGTTGTTTTTCATCTTTTTGCGGCAGCCCTTCAGCCCGCCTTCCAAACTTCCAGTGCAGCTTGGAGACGTGCTCGGGTGGTGAACCCTCAGCGAGGACGAAACCAAGAACGACAAAATGGCGAATTACTTTACGATGCCTCCATCCTGAGAGCAATGGCCTCCAACCTGCTAATACCCCGCACCCGCACTCGAGGCATCCCTGGGTAATTATACTGTTGTGGTTGCATTTGGTTTTGCAATTTTGCGTGTCATTGCTTTCTGTCTGCTGTCGCGCTTGTCCAGGTACTACATGCATTGCGGATCATTGCGGTGTTGTTTGGTACTGCCGGCGTGCGCATGTGTGTAAGATCATTGCTTGCTGTCTGGTCTAGTGTGTGTGTGTGTGTCGTTGTGTGTGTGTGTTGTCGGCATGTTTCTTTTGGTATGTCGTCACAATCCCGAATTGTGCCAATAGATGATCTGCCATATTTGCGCACAACTCCGATAGCCTCTGGACTTGACATAGGCTTCAGGCTGAACAAACAACTGTCGATGTTCCTTGTCTATGGCTGCTTGGGCCTGCTTGGAGCATGACATGACAGTTGTTGTCCTTGGCTTTGTGCTGTGATTGCAGAGCCGCCTTCTGTTCGCTAGTGGCGTCCGCAGGCCCGGGCTGCGTTTGGATCAACGTTTCAACCGCTTGCTTCACCTCCGGGCACCTTCAACTGTCCTTCCAACGGCCGGATCCGGAGTGTAGTCCCATACTGACTCTGGCCTCTGCCTAGGGCCTAGGTGATGTGGCACCTTCATGCAAGGTGCACGGAAGTGAATCCACCGCATCCAACCGACACAATGGATGCATTCAAGGATTCTCAACTGTTGCAAGCTGCCAACAAATAGAAGCAATAAGCTACTAGTAACAAGTGCCTTACTAGTAGTAACAAGAAGCTAGTAGAAACAGATCAGATGAGATCAGAACTTCCCGCATTGCCGGTTTAGAGAGCGCCCTCTAGGTCCACAGCAGCGGTGGCACCAAAGCCACCCTCACTGCATCTCACGGCGCAACACCGCAGGCAATGCACCAGCATGGCTAACTTGGGCCAAATTTGTCCCCTTACTTTCTCTCTTCTCCTTTCCCTTTCTTCCATTCTCTTTGTTCCCTTCTCTTGCTTCCCTTCCCCTCTCTCTTCTTCCCTTTGCTTCCCTTTTCCTTCCTCCCTTGGTGTATCGCTGCTGTTCTCTCTGTGTGCGTGTATCCTATCGGTGCGAAGACAACTTTGTGGGACACGCTTTGCAGCCGCTATGACCTATTTACTTTGCGACCATCATGGTTGCAGAACAGATGTGTCAAATGGTCTGCTGGCATGTTTGTGATCGTTTGGGCGTCTTTAGGCACCTCACACGCTGTAACTACCAGTGACATGACAGAAAAGCTCAACTGCAAACGAAAGCCACGCTTCAGACGAGAAAAAAATAGGTGGTGCGAATGCTGTTGTCATCATATGAGATGGCCTCTTGTTGCCTGGACGCAGTCCCATTTTTAAAATATCACGGTGGGGGGTCATTCAAAGTAATTAAAGTAATGCAAACATAGGATTAATAAACCTCCCCTAGTTAATCCGACCACAAAGTCTCCGAAAACTGCCCAAATTAAAAGTAGTATTGGTGATTGATTTCCCCCCAATGGTCTAGTTGGGCACCAGAAACCTACCACGACTACTACTACGACTACTCCATGAGCAGATTATTGAGGGGAGGTGGACCTCATGAATGATACCTCAGACCTTCTAGACCTTCTAGACTTTCCACGTGGGCGGGGGGCGGTTTATTAATCCGGTCTCAGCATTATATTCCTCTCTGTCTCATTCTTTCTCCCGCTCTTATTTGTTTCTTTCTCTTGTTCCCTGTCATTGTCAGCCATGCTGTTGCACCCAAAAAGGACACTCCTCCGGCTGACAACAAATCCTTTTGCGTTGTCTACCTGATAGTCCCAATGACCAAGACAATTGATTGGGCGGTTCCTGACTATGCAGCTGCAAAACTGGCATCCGAACATGAAGGAAAGCACTTTGCTTGCCAAACCTGGTCAGCACAGTACTGAAACCAAGAGTTCCTGCTGCCGACATCGCATATGCGAAATTTACATCAAACCCGAAACAACAACATGCAAACGAGTCCTAGATGAACTCAAAAATGCACTCATCTCTAGAAGGCTCTTTTTTAGTACATAAACCCGGTTCCTCTCTCACACCGTTCCTCATCGCGGTTTCATCCAACTATGATCTCGGGTCACACATCATCCGGTACATAGTTCTCATGTTATCGTCCATGTCTAACCGTTTTGTCTGTCGTTTGTGAAAGCCTTCGGCCTTTCCTTCCTCCGCTTTTGACCGAATTTGCCTTCCATTCTGTCGGATCGCCGTGCTCTGATACCCAGGTGCTGATCATTGTCTGCTTTGTGGTTGCCAGTGACATGAGCGTTTGGGCTCGTCTCGCGGGATCGTGAGATGGGGGGGTCAGGAATTCTTCAAGCTTCAATCAAGGGTTACAAACGGTGCACCTTGGCCGCTAAGCCAGCCACCAGCAAACGCGAAAACGCAAAACGGGAGAAGCAACAAGAAAACGAGAAAACACCAGACACAGCAAAAACGGGCAGCTCTCGCGAGAACAGTGCTCTGAGCAGGTGGATCCCTTTTGCTGAAAGCCTTTTACAGGGCTGCAGTTCGCATGAAAATGAGTGCCACGCATTACGCGTGGCATCTTTACATGTATCGGCAACGCCTTAAAGAAACGGTGTTCTTGGTTGTGCGGCTTTCTCGGTTTTCTCACAGCGTTGCGCAGGCCACAACAGGTACGGTGGGAAATTCGGAGAATTCATGTGTTCATTTTGGTCGATTTCTGCACAGGATTCGGCCTTGTACGCCAGCAAACTGATAGCCACACAGCAACAATGAGGAAATGAATCACATGACATTTGCATAGACCAACCTAATAGCGATGGCCTCCACCCTAGTAAAGCTTCTTGTCACTAGTAACTATATAGTAGCTTCTTTTCTCAAGCAGCAAGCTTCAGCAAACAACGATCTTCAAGGCCCGCACCAATGCAGTGACCATCTTTCAAGACAGGAAAGCAATCAACCTGCTGCGCTACAACCACACTAAGTCTTGACGAACCGCTGAAAACAGCACGATACATGTTGAAACTTACATGACACAAAACCTTGTTCGGCCTTGTCTTGTTCAAGTGCAGCCTCAATGCTTCTATAATCTGCCTGCGGTCAGTTCCAGTTCTGAACTGTCCACCATTTCCAGCAGAACATATCACGTTAATGAACAATTCTGTTGGCACTGGCACTGACACAAAGTACAATGTCCTTTAAGCACGGGCTAGTTGCAAAACACCAAAGTGCAATAATTGTCCAGCCAGTCCCTGGCAAAGCCGATGATTGAATGACCACTGACTTCCACCCTAATAGCGTCCTTGCTCCTAGTAGTAAGGCCAGGAGCCCCTAGTAGCTTCTTGCTCCTAGTAGCGAATGTTAAAAGGCAGAATGCAGGAAGATGCTTGGTGTGGCGAAATTTACCCTGGCGATGTGACAGGTTCTGACATGTAATGTGGTGATCAGTGCGTGATCTGTGATGGGTGATGTCGAATCCGGTGTCTGTGGTTGATTTTTGATGTGGCATAGTTGTGCGCGGTCTCTTGATCATGTGATGTGGCCGAGTCTAGGTAGAGCGTGGTGTTTTGTATCCTATTGATGTGGAAGAACTTTACTGTTTTTGTGACTTACGACGTGGTGGTGTGCAAAGTGGCAAAGTGTAATGTGGTGAGGTGGTCATTATTCAAAAGTGTTTTAGAACATGCGAAGCACAATGTGCCAAAGAAAAAGCATAAGCAACAATGATGTGATATTTAGTGACTTTAGTGTTCATCGTTCGATTTTCTCTGTCGTTATGCGAGGGGCCAGGAGTGAGGCATCCAAAATGTTTGTGTGTGTTTTTACTAGAGAGCTTTCTTGTTACGAACAAGCTTCAAAGACCTAAAAAGCTTCTTGTTATTAGTAGCGATGCCCTCCAACCTAGTAGCTTCTTGTTACTAGTAGCGATCAAAGACACACTAAAAAGCCTCTTGTTACTACAGGTGAAACGATTCCCTAGGGGCCAAGGGACAAGGGAACCATTTTGGATGCCTTTGTTTTGATTCGTAAGACCTCGTCCAGGTTCCTGCGCTTGACATGCACGACAGATTCTACTCTACTGCTTCCGTCACTCGGAACTGTCCAAGCCGAAACTGCCTCGACTGAACATACCTCGACTGACCATTGCCATTGCGGACCACGCCTCTGGCTCCAGTGTGGCTTCTGGGGGCAAGTCGTCCCGCAGCTCGTAGGCCAGAACCCGGTCCATGAGACGTGGTGGTTCAGGCTCAGATGGGGCAAGGTCAGCGCAAACACTTCACCGTTGTCTATGGAAAGTAGAGAACAAAACGCTAAGGTCTATAACGTGAGAGGCAAGAACGGCAGGTCCAAACAGGAATGCATCATACCCGGTGATTTTATGTGATTTTGAATGAGTTCGCCTGTAGTTGGTTTTCCTAGGAAGCAGGGGAAAAGAGCCCGCGGCCTGCTAATAGCTTCTTTGCATATAGGTGTCATGGGCAAATTGCTTCCAAAGGTGAATGCTTCAATTAGTTTTAGAGGGAAAGGATGCTGTGCGCACAACGAGCACACATTTCTGCACGCACCTCCAAATGGCCCCGGTGTTGAGCTTCTCAATTCTAGCATCAAGATTGACCTGCTTACTGCTACTAGAGAAGATTCTTACAATCTCCCTTCCTCCCGACATGTCTCCTGACATGACCTACACGTCTCCTACCTGGAGACAATCAACCCCCTTTCTGTTCCAAAAGTTGCATTGTTTCCTGTTTGATCTGGCCTTTGATGCCTGCCCCCCTTACCTATCCTACAGGGATCCTGCGTGTTCGTCTTGCCAAGCCCCAATCTCTAACCATCTCCGCGCCACCCTTGCTCCTAGTAGCAATGCCCTTTGTTCCTAGTAGCGTCCTTGCTCCTAGTAGCGATGCCCTTTGTTTTTACTAATGTCCATCTCGTGCTTTGATGCACGTGCGTTGACACAAAGTCAAAAGGAAAGCCAAACACTTTCATGAAAAAGGAGTACACAAAGTCAAGAAAGAAGTGGGGATACCTTGTCTCGATGTGTCATCCACTTTTGTTTCTGCCATTCGTTCTGGTGTCTTCAACTCCATTTCTGCAGCGCCCATCAAGAGCTTGATTGTTCATCAACTGAAGTTGATTTTGTGTAATGCGAGTGCTCGCACATTAGACTAGAACCTTAAATTAACTTGTTTTATCTGCATATGTGTCTTTATCAACTCCCAGTGATCCTCCTCAAGAGCAGACTGAGCTGAAGATCTACGCCACAAGAAGTATGTTTCTACGAAACTACGTTCACATCCGTTCACATCCGTTCTACGCTCGTCTTCGACTCGGGCATTTCCAAAGAAATATCTCCAATCTAAACACTTCAACCTCTGTGATCGGCTTGGGGGCCACTGTCTATTCGTCCAAGTCTGCTCAGCAGATCATTAGTAGCGTCCTCTCGTTACTAGTAGTAAAGCCAGGAGCCCCTAGTAGCGTCCGATCGCTCCTAGTAGCGATGCCCTTTGCTCCTAGTAGCGAACCTTGTTAGGCACAGTCCCATGGGCAAGAAACATCCAACGTGACGCGCTTGGATGTGCAGATTGCCAGGTGAAGTGAGCCGAAGGTGAAAATACGAGAATGTTGATCAGGAAAATGACAAAGTGCCTTGTGAAAATACCAAGAATGAAACCCCCCCAAAAAAATAGATGTCACACACACACACACACTTGACTGACCTTAAACCTGCTTCAAGCAAGGCACTGGCAGAAAAGGAATGGCCTTCCTTAGAATCTGCTCCTTGGAGGTTGGGAAGCGCCCACTGGCAGAGAAGGATTCTTCGTGACTGGGGAGGTGGCCTCGTCGAAGCCCCTTTCATTGATTTGCTTGTTCAGGAGCAAAGAGATGGTCACCTAAACGAGAAACAATAACAAAATAGATTTAGAAATAAAACAGTTTAGACTTTTTATCGTTTTGAACAGTTTAGATTTATGTTCAATAGTTCTAGCGATTCTAATCGCTGATCCTTTCTCAAGCCTTTCAGAAAGACAAAACACAAAGTCAACCAAAGGCCCCACCGCTAGCATCAATGGAGGCACCAGGCCGAGGTCATTGGCAGCTCCTTTAAGAAGAGTTTGCATGCAAAAGTAACGCTTTCTACGAAAGAAAGCAAAACTATCATTGCCAAAGGCAATGTCATTGAACGTCACTTTTAACGGCTCCCAGAACGACAGTCTCCTGTGATGAAAACCACCACCGCCACTGCCATTTGTTTGAAACCACACAGCATGGAGGCACTGCCAACCATTGCATACACACCGGACCTCATTCCAGCTAGTAGGTTGGAGGCCGCTAGTCCCGCTAGTCACGGAGGTTGGATCGGACAGCTTCTCAGCGCTTGCACCTGAAAGCCTGAGAGGCGGACACCGCCATTCCCGGGCCGTAGTCCCGCACCAAAGCGCCCATCATGCGGCCGATCAGCCTGCGTGTGCCCGCGGCCGATCCTCGTTGCCTCTCTGAGCAGTTATGTCTGGGCTCACTGCCCACCAATGAGCATAGAGCCGGTAAAATTTCCAGATGGCACCTGGACCCCTGACATCGCAGCTCTAGTTCTGGTGGCGCATACACTCACAAACACTCTTTCTCCACTGGCCTGTAAGGCCAATGTTCAGGCTCGTGTAGGACAAAAATGCTAGAAGTTCGTTCCTGAGGCCGCTTTGCTGTGCAATCACACCTGCTCCACCTGATTCCTGCCTGAAATGAATTTCGTTGGCGTCATGCCTCCACTCGATATGATGAAGCAAGGGCATCGCTACTAGTAACAAGAAGCTGCTAGGGGCTCCTGGCCTTTCTACTAGGAGCAAGAAGCTACTTACTGTGACTTGTTTGCATCTGTTCTGTAACGTCGCCTCGAGAAGAGCCGCTTTACGGCGCCCTCGGAGGTGGTTAACAATAGCGAGGCCACGGGATTGTATTTTCCTTCCTGAAAGTAGGCAGCTACACACTGTGGCAGTTCCGCTCTCTGCAGAAAAAATCTGTGTGTCCGTCCTCGCAATCATACCGCACAAACTGTACTGCATCTTGCGCGGTGTGTTTGCAATTAGCCTCGGCAAGGACAATACAGACAACATCCGAAAGCGCCTGGCTTTGGCCTCAACAACAGAAAGGAATCGCACTACTGCGTGCGTGTCACAGAGGAAAGAGGAATAACCTGTGCCTTCAGTATTGAATCCCCCCACCGCACCCCTAGAAAAAAATCCGCATTGGTCATCTATATACAGAGCTATTTTTGTCATTGCATTGCAGCTCTTGAACCAACACAGCTTGTAGTTAGCCAGATCAAGCAAGAATAGCTGACCAAACGGATTGAAAGGCCGTGGCCGACAGAGCTACCAGCGAATAAGTCCTCAGTCATGTTCCAAACATTCAAAGCCGTTCTGCAAAGGTTCACGGTAGCTGCGATGCCAGGAGCTACTAGTAACAGTAGTGCCCTTGCTCCTAGTAGTAATGCCCTTGCTCCTAGTAGCTCCTAGTAGCGATGCCAGTATTGATGATGAAAAGCAACGAAAACCCAATCCGGGGGAAAACTAACAGAAGGACAATACTTCGCCAAGGATCAGTGCCACAAGCCCTCCGTAAAGCACTGCATCGGCCATCTTGTTGAAGGGTTCGTAGGAGGAAAACCGCTTCATCAGCTTCTGCCTCGCCAAAGTCTCTCCAATCAAGTCGACAATCATTCATTAGTAAGCTGCTAGGGAGAAGCATCGCTTCTAGTAACAAGTGCCTTACTAGTAGTAACAAGAAGCTATAGAATTTAATTAGAATCTAATTAAAATTACTAGCAAAGAAGGAACCTCGCGTGAGGTCCCCTCACCGCAGCAATGAAGGTGAGGTAGTAAGAAGGCTACTAGGACCTTTTCATTAGTCGACAATCAGTCTGTAAAAGCATTACACAAATTCTCCAGGACGCTTCGCCAACCTCCCGTCTGCCTGGAACCCCCGGTTTTTGCTAAATCGCACTTCATTTTTTGGTGGGGGGTTGTCAGGAGGTGTTGTCGCCTTTGAGTGCCACTGGCATCTTTTTACAGAAATATAGGCTGATGTGCGCATGTGGGCCTGGCCGTCCCTCCCTCAGCATGAGGGATTTACACAAATTCGGAGGTTTCAATGATGTAAGCTCCTGCTCTTAAGCTACCCCACTCCTGAAACATGAGTGCTTGCTTTGGACTGTCATTGGTTGAGCAAGCAATCTGCTGCGCTTGTGAACTAATTTCCATGTTTGCCTGAAGGTCATACCCATATCAAGCAGGCCTGAGTTGGCAGACCTTGAAATTGGAAGCCCGATGTTGAATTCTACACAATTGTCTCCAACAGAATATGTCAGGCCTATTCAGCATCCCGGGCACTGTCCGTCCCAAAAGAAGACAAAACCGAAAATTGTGGACACCAGGTGTTCCTCGAAAAATCGCCCAATGAAAAGACGTGGCGCACTTGATCGAATAGAAAACCTCAAAGAATCAAGCCAAAGAAGACACATAGACACAGGAATCCTGTCCCGATCGAGGAAGCATAGGAGTGAAGGCCAACCAAATAGCGATCTCCTCCAACCTACTAGCGAAGTTCATCATGGATACTCCCCACACCAACGGCTCCATGGACAGGGGGAGATTGCCATAGGCAGGCAAATGCTCCCACAAAAGTTTGTCCAACGCAAGCATATTTCAATCTGCATCTGATCGGGGCAAGGTCGCTTGTTAATTGTTGCCTTGCAAGAAAGCACATGACTCCTTCAATGTTTGCTGCGGGTTTGTTTGGAAGATCCAGCGCGTATGCGTTCCAAATTGCATAATTTTCTATTACTTCTTGTGTCTTGGCCCCGACTATGTGCCCCACAGGATTGGATTAAACAAACATGCCGTGCCACTCAACATGACACACATTCACTCTGGTCAACATGTCTAAACTTCCTCTATCTTCCTCTCATGTTGATTCTTGTTGTACTCTGAGAGTAGGAAATGGAGTAGGATCCCTTTGTCAAAGCATGTCAGGATGCAGCATGGAAAAAACCCTACCGGCGAGCCAAAGTAGATAAGGTGCTGCTGCTGCTGCTGCTGCTGATGATGATGATGATGATGATGAATAGAATTAACAACATGTCGTGCCAACACAGGTGAATCTTACGTCTTGCAATAGAGCAGTTGCAAGCCGCAGTGTGGAGGCGAGGCAAGCCCCATTTTACCCAACAGATCCTAACATTTGGCAAGAACGTGCGGCTGGCCATGGTGTCTTATCACCTAAGTTTGTTGATTGGCCACAGCACGGGCATGATTTCCAAGAGCACGCACAGCCTCCGTCTAACAGATTCACAGAAAACCGAGTATCAGAAGGTAATGATACGTCAGGCGAGAACAGGCTTGATTCCGGGTAGCACCACAAAAGACTGACACCGGACACAGAAGAACGCTGCCCTGACTGACTGCTCAATGGCTGTAGCGGCCAGTGGCCTGTGCTGGGAGCCTGTGCACATCAGAATGCATGTTTGTTTTGTGTCGTGACTGTTGGCTCTTCTTGTTTCTAATAGCTTCTTGTTACTACTAGTAAGGCACTTGTTACTAGAAGCGATGCACTTGTTCCTAGTAGCTTATTGTTTCTAATATCTCTTGGGAAGCTTTGCCACAAGGAGCTGAGCAGCCATGAGTTGCATCAGCTCGGTCTACCCGTGTAAGAATTCGGTTGTGAAAACTGTTTCTACGTGGCGTAGTCTATGAAAGCAAATCGTATTCGTCTCATCATCTCTGATTGTTACAGTATATCAAAACATATCAAAACACCATCTGCTACTTTCGTCTCATCAGTTCGGCCGGATCGGCATGGTGCATGCCAGCCTCGCAGCAGCAACTGCCAAACACGCTCGGGTGTGGAAAGCGCTGAAAGGGCCAATCATCACAGCCTCGGTTTTTCATCTGCCTCTGCCTTTCCCCAGTCTCTGCCGAGTTGCGTCGCACGGCAGCACTGCAGCGCTGTTTGTTTTAACCCGTTGGCTTTTCATCGCTGTAAGGGGGTGCGCTCATTGGCACAACCCAGTCAGGGTAGACCGACTCAAGCTCGTGCAAGAAGCCTTGAATCTTGGATCGTGGAAGTGGCATGCTATAAGGATGTCAGTCAGAGAACATCGGTCAAAAAAGCGGGGCATAGCATTTGACACCAGCACCCCGAAACAATAAGTCAAAGGACTCAAATCACTTCCATCACTTGCCAAGGTTTTGTTTATTGTTTCTCTGGTCTCTGAGGATTTGACAAAAGTCCCATCCCATGAAGCTCCAATGGCCTTCGATGGTGAAACCTTGTTGCAGAAGCTCTCCCAGGCCTATCGGCAGCCACAATCGAAATGCCCACAGACTACAGAACAAAACTGATCAGACTATCACCTTCCGGCATCAAGAAATAGTCCGAACAAGAAAAAAAGGCAACTGTCTGAGTGCAGGCACATGATGGGTTTTGGGATTACATCACTCCATAGTGGGGTTTTGTGCGTGCGTGGTTGGTTTGCTTCGCTGCCCCGGCAAGTCAGTTTGCAGGAAGGCGTCTTTGGGGTCTTGTTTGGAAATGAACATGTTCCTCATCCATGAATGTTCTCCCTACTGTACCGCTGGCAGGCTGCAAGGGCTGCAAAGGCTGATACGCTTGAGCGCGGCAATTATATATATATATATGCCAGGCACGGCGCAGAAGGCACCCAAACGGCTGAAGGCCGGCTCCAACTAGGCATTACTACTAGTAACAAAAAGCTACTCGTCTACTAGTAACAAGGTGCATCGCTACTAGTAGCAAGGACGCTACTAGTAGCAAGGGCATTCATTACGACTAGTACAAACCGATGTCTGACAGCTGCACTTGGGATATTATTGTGTTTCTGTTTTTTGCGTTTTGGTGTTGGTTTGGTTGGCTGGTCGAAGGCTGGAAAGGTTTGGGGAGGGCACAAAGCGCCCCGAAAAAACCAAGCCTTCCTTGCATTTGGTTTGTTGGTTAGTTGTATTCTTGCTTGTGTTTGGTGCTTGAAACCGATTTTTTCAAGATAATATTTTACAAAAAACGGAGGGTCACACGAACACAAATTTATCCACATGGTCCTTCTTTGATTGCTTAAATTTGGTTCGCCTGGTTGTTTGATTTCATTACATGTGTACATCACTACTGTTCAGAGTACCTCCCAGAAT